GTCCATGTTATTTTGAGAATGTAATTTCTGTTTTAAGAAATGAGCCAAACCAATGGATAAAAACTGTAATATTATTTATTACAGTTTTTCTCAATTGCTATAACACTAAAATCCATTGACTGAAGATAGTTCTCAGTTGCTTGAACTCATTAAGCTAACTGTTGAGCCTGTTGTCAAAACCTTAAACCATTTCACACGGTTTAGCAAAACTCTAAACGCATTCTCATTCTTAAAACACATTCTGCACTCTAATGTACACATCATCCATAACGGTAAACACAAGTGGCACACATTTACCCATAACAGGAGCACAAACGTCATTGATTGAACAAAATCAGTCAAAATAGAATTCACTTGTTTCAAATGATGTGACAACCAATATAAGCAAGTTCAGAGAGCAAACAGGTTGTTGAAGGTGGGAATGAGAAAGTGTAACAATGGGTAGAAGAATTCATGTGAGAGGACAAGGACGGGTGCATATGCGAGGTGGGGGATGAGGAGGAGGGCAAGAGAGAGAAAGAGGAGGATGAAGAGCAAGACAAAGAGTGGAAATATCCAATGAAATCTGAGCAACAATCACAGACCACGTTGTTGTCCATGGGCTGACAATGAGGGAAGCAGGGCTTTGAGTGCAACCCAATTTGAGCCTCAGGAGGGAAAATATTGCATGTGATGTCGATGAAGTGCTGTGGCCTGACCCAGCCCGCAGACAAGAAGAGGCCCATTGATAACATGTTTAGTCCTTTGATGTTTTTCATTTTATGTATTTTTTTCACTGTCATTGAACACTGTAGCACAATGGTCTGCAGGCTGCATATATGGTTCAATAAACAAATTATATGGCTCTGAACATTGTGCTTTCTATTTTTTGGTGTATTGTTTACTGACTGATTGATGGTGTATGCAATTTTGAGTAATTTGTTTATGATCTGAGAGTTGTGTTTGATTTTGAGCACAGCTAAAACTGTTTTGAGGCGAAAGTTTGATTTTGCAAGAGGAATGAGAGGTTTTGTAAATCGTGCTCGAAGCTGAGGTTTTGTGTTTAATGTTTCGAGAAAAGGGAGCAAGGTTTCAGGAATTGTGCTTTAGCAATTGAGAAAAACTGTAAGATAAATGACATCTCAATAGTGTCAGCGATAGTATTTTATCGTATATTGCGCCATGGACGTAATTTTCACTTTAGAAGTGGGGGGGACACGGGGGTGGGGGTATCTTCACAGTATGTTCTAATGGGAAACAGGCTTCAACACAAACAGTTGTTTTCTGCTTGGTCCTAGAGCTCAACCAGTGTCAATTTAATATAAAGTAATATTGTTTTTGGATGGTAAAAAGTGCAGGGGTCAAAACTTCACTTTGGAAAAAGTGGGGGGGACATGCCCCCCCCCCCCCCCCCCAAATTACGTCCATGTATTTGTTCTCAAAGGTTTAAAATAGCGTGATGTGGAACCTTGAAAATTGCTGCAAATAAATATTTCTCTGGGGTAAAAAGTCCACCAAAAATAAGGCAAGATAGTAATGTATTGTAACAACATGAAAACTGATAGTGAAATTTTATAAAACTCACTGAAAGTTCCCTCAATCATGGCAAACAAACAGGTACTGTGGCTCTTGCCTTTTTTTTTATCATTCTTTACAAGGAAATAATCTGTAAAACTGGTTGAGTGAATTTTTACTGGCATTCCACCTGCTTGCATCTGGCTTAACGGAAGTTCCCATAAGAATCATCTCAGGTGGGAAAAAAATTACAAAACATCATGAAACAGAGGTTAAGCGAGGATCATTTTTACACATAAACTGCCCTCCCAAGATGTCAGAGATTTACCCCATGAAGAAAATGTTATTATGATATCAAGCAAAGCAGTTCGACTTCCCTAAAAGAAATTGTTAAAGCTGGTCACATTTGTCTTTATTTTTAATCAGCTTTTGTATAAGACCTATAATCTACATGATAATGCATGCAGTTCTGGTTAGGATTGGAAGTTTTAGCTCGAGTGATTTTCTTCTTAAATATGGGGTCCCACGGGGCTCTGTACTCAGCCCTCTCCTTTTTAATTTATACTTGCTCCCACTTGGTGCTATTTTTAAAAAATACGGCCTTAACTTTCATTTTTTTGCAGATGACTACGCCCCCACTAAAGTTAAGGAAATAGCTCTAATGTGCCTTTGTGAGGTTAAGGACTGGATGAGCTGTAATTTCTTGCCGATTAACTAGTCTAAGACTGAGCTAATTATGCTGGCACCGAGTGGTTCTCCTGTATTTCCTCAGTCTTTGGTGAATGGCCTTTCGAATTGTGCAAAGGATGTTGTGTTTAATCTGGGTGTTAAGGTTGATTCTCAGCTTATTTTTTATTTACAAGTCAATTATGTTGTTCAATCATGCTTTTTTCAGCTGAGAAATCTTTACAAGGTGAAGTCTTTTTTGCTTAAGAACCATTTAGAGAAGCTCATACATGCATTCGTAACTTCTCGTTTAGTCTACTGCAATAGTCTACCATGGCATTAAGCATGTATTGCTAGGTTGCAGCTACTTCAGAATGCTGCAGCCCGTCTTTTGACTGGCACTTGTAGATTGAATCATATCACTCCAGTTCTTGCCTCTCTACACTGGGTCTCGTTTAAATACCATGTCCAATTTAAGATTTTGGTTCTGGCTTATAAATGTTTAGGGTTAGGGTACTTGTCTATCTCTCTGAGCTTCTTGTGCATTGTGTTCCATCTTGTGGACTGAGGTCGGCTGACAACTTAGATTCAATGCCCCTAGGGCGAGGCTACAGAGAAGAGGTTTTAGGTCTTTCTCAGTGGTGGCACCTATTCTTTGGAAAATGTTACCAATCACCATTAGGCAGGCATCATCTGTTTTTTTTTTTAAGTTACTGAAGACTTATTTTTACTCCTAAGTTTTTAACACCTTGGGCTTAAAGGGTTGTCCTGTTTTTTATGACTTTTTTTTCTGATTTTATTTTTGTGCTTATTTTATGTCTTTTTAATTGACTGTTCATTTTTTTATGTCAAGCACTTTGGGCAACATTGTTGCATTTAATGTGCTGTATAAATAAACTTTGATTGACCGATTTTACAAGATTTTTAAAAATAATTCAACAACAAGCTGAGAAACCAGAACAGAGGACAACTGGTGGTGTTCTCACAAAGAGTAACTGACTCACTTTCCCATTGAGACAAGTCAATCTTTTTATTGTAGTTTTGCAGAGCAATGACAGAATCAAGCCTAAATAGTTTCACATTTACGATAAGAGGTCATTTTGAATTTCTCTATGTGGGAATCAACATTTTCAGTGACGTATCAACATCTGATTGGGCGGATTTCAAGTCTGTTAATTTAAAAAACAAATGGTCTTAATACAAAGCATCATTCCTGCAGTCAGGAAATGCTGATAAAACTTAATTTGCCTTTCTGGAGAAACTCTGAGCTTCTGATTTCTGCTGCACAGCTATAATAAACCAGATGAGCAGAACTGCTGTAACAAAGTCATAAAAAACAATAAAGTGAACAAAAGTTGCTTGTCGACAGTTTCTTGGTAATTCCTCAATGATGTGGCAGTTAATGGATATAAAAATGCTGTGTGATGCATCTTGTGGGTAAGTCTTATATTATTATCCAAGAAAATGAAGGAACTTATAGTGAAATAAAGTATCTAGCATGAGCAATAAGTAAAGAGGGATGAGAGAGGAGCTGTGGTGCATGAAAAGGTCCGGAGTGGCGGAGAAGCGTTAGAGTGGTGCAGAACATGCATGAGAGCAGTGAGACAGCAGTGAAGTGCTGTAGGACTTAGGGTCTACAGAGCAACAGAGGGGGTGGAAAAGAGATGAAGAAGCATGTGGTGCAGGTTGGATGGAGAAAAGTGTCAGGAGTGATAAAAGGTTTCTGCAAGAATGAAAGGAAAGATGTAGAAAACAGCTGTGAGAGCAGCCATATTGTCTGGTTTAGAGACAGTGTCCATGAGGACAAGACAGGAGACAGAGCTCAAGATGTTGAGGTTCTCTTTGGGAGTGACGACGATGAATAGGATCTAATCTGAGTCCATCAGAGGGGCAGCTCATGTTAAATGTTCTGGAGATAAAGTCAGAGAGGCAAGACTGAGACGGTTTGGACATTTCCAGAGGAGAGACAATGACGAAATAGGACAAGAAGCTAGTAGACATGTTTTTATTTGATTAGCCATGGGATAGTAAAGGTTTTTTGACTATTTTCATCCTCCTGAGTGCCTAAGATCCAATTCTTTTTTGTATTGCTTGTATCCCTGAACTAAAGAGCACCAGAGGTACTCACAACCACTTCACACCCTGGAAGCACTCCATGCATTTTTGATGTTCATGCCTTAAAACATGTTTATTATATGTGGAGGTTTAGGTAAAATTAAACCTATAGTTCAAAGGTCAGTACTGTGTAAATGACAAACCTGGGTGTATCAGCCGGGCCCTTCATGTATCTACCAATATCTAATACACTGATCTAATGACCATCTAGCATCTTCTAGTTCACGTGGAAGCCAAAGATCTTAGGGGTCAGTTTTAGGATGCAAAGATTTCCATTCTATGAATTAAATGATTAACCCTTTTCACAAAAAAAAAAAAAAAATATCAGTGATTTTGTTCTTATATCTTTGTTCTTTTTATCTACTTTTCAGATTTGCTTAAAAATCCAATTATTTTGTTTTAAAACATTTATGCAACCATACAGATTTTAAATGAGAGGTCAGAAATTAACTCATGACTCTGATGTAAAATTGTCATTAAATTATGTTTAATTTCAACAAAAAAAACGTATTCAACTTTTGTCTGTATCCAAACTATTTCAGACACTATTATATTTAATCTGACTTAAACCTTTCACATTCACCTTCTTGCCTCAAAAATACACCAACGTGTTTTTGCTGACGTGGACCACACATCCACAGGTAAAAGTTAATCTTAGATGAAGTTTATGTAAAACAGCAAGTCATAAAAACCTGTATAACTCTGTGTCACATTACTGATCTGCTGGTTGGTTGGGGTCAAGCATCTCAGTTCCAAAGTCGTTATCTCCTCCACGATCATTTGGGTTTGGGAGAGCCGTGGGTGCAGAGGGAACATGAGAGCTCAGAGCTGATCAAACTAACACCAGAGCTGAGAAACACTGGAGACGGAACGTGAAGGTTCAGTTATGGGCCTAAAAGGGCTTCATGTTTTGTCTTTACTGCTGCTGACCCAAGGATTTCATCTTGTACAAGGTATGTGTTTCCTTGTGTTTTTGCTGTATTCTAAAGCAAATATGGGTCAAATAAAAGAATAGGAGCTCTGAGCGATGGCCAGTGATGGCTGCAGGATAAATTCATGCTTTCTTCATCCTATTTGTTGACCAAAAACAACTTTGTGCATCAACATCATGGTATCATGACAACATTTGCTTTAAAGTTTAAACCAACTCAAAACTTATAGATTTAAATGGGAGTAAATTTTCTGTGCAGTCAGATACAAATAAACTACACGGGGTAAGTTAGAAGGTTGTGATAATCTGTAGAAGTTATAAACTGCAGTAATCTTAGATGGAAGCACACTTTATCAATATTAATTTACACTGATCTGTATGAAAATGTCTGCAATGTTTCTTTTGTTTTTGTCTCTCTGCTTTCCCAAACTGAAAACAAGTAATCCTGATGAATAATCTCTATAAATATAAATAAATCTGAATCCCAGAGTTATAAAAGCACATTTGTTCTTGAAATCTGGTCTGAGAGTTTAATATATTTCAGGATCACAAGATCGTGTCAATTCAAGGTGAAGAATTAACTATTCTTTAAAGACCAGATCACATGCCACAAGTTTCAGATACTGCACAAGAAGCAACTTTAACTGTCATAAACATGGTCGCTCACTCGTAAAACATAGGAAAATATGTGATGTTTTTACTGAGGTGACACGGACATCAAACATTTAATTTAATGCTATAAACTCTGTAATAAAACACTTTGTGACCTGGGCAAGTTCAGCAGCTTTGATATTGGATCTTGGTGCACAATTATTAAAAAAGAAACACATTTAGATTATATTTCTTATTGTTTTAAAATAATGTTCAAATGCTAAAATATTGTAAATGATAAATATCTGTTGATTTTTTTTTCTGGTGTCATCTCTAAAGGCCGTTTTCTACCAAACACACAAAAACTAACTTAGGAGTTTTAAAAAAAGTTTATTTAGAAAATATATATTTTACTTGAAAGAAAAACTTGAATGAAGTTCAGCTCACACCATGCCCATCAAAAAATGAGTAAAATTAAATGTCTGAGGGTTTTTTTTTGCAGGAAGCTGTGGCATTAATGAGTTTCAGTGCACCAATGGTCAGTGCATTAGCAAAGAATGGCGATGTGATGGAACTAAAGACTGTACAGACGACTCAGATGAGCTCAACTGTCGTAAGTATTATAACCATCTGCAATATAGATGGCATCATTCTCAACACGAGCTAAAAATGTCAATTTTAAACAAAATACAATTGATAAGAGCTAAAAGTTTAAATTGAAAGTCACCTGACTAGCAGTTAAGTGATGTAAGGTGAATGAATATTGATTAAAAAAATCACTTGTTTTGCTATTTTGTGGCAGCACCTCCATCCTGCACTTCACAGGAATTTAAGTGTGTGACAAGTGGAGAGTGCATCTCATCAGGGTTTGTCTGCGATGGGGAGGAGGACTGCGTCGATGGCTCAGATGAACAGAGAACCTGCGGTAAAATACACAAACCAAAGATTTTATTATGTTTTCTAAAGTGTTAAAATGTATGTTTACAATAATTTCTATCATATTGGTAAAAGGAATTAAATAACTGTAGATATTTTAGCTGAAATGTTTTGGAATCCACTAGATGGCAACATCGCCTCAGAAGTAACTATCTGTTAAACTAGAACGTGTCATATGTGCAAATAAAATGATTGCCATGATTGCAGTTATTTGCTGCCATAAGACTCGTGTTGAGATGATTTGCACCTGTCCTTTAAAGATATGTTCTTGTAGTTTTTGAACACAAATGCATGTGGTTTTCTAGACTCATTTCATGGTAGTAATAAAGACTTTAGTAAGAGTTGTGGAGAACATTTTAACTAAGTTCTGAAAAGTTTAGGTCATCCTATAGGTACGTCCCAAGCCATAACACATTCATTAAAACATATTAATTATGACCAATAAGATGTGATGATTCCATATAAATATGAAATATCAATCTGATTCATCTTTGAATGTTTAATCAGAAGATTCTAGGGTTCTTTGCTTCATCAGGGACCATAAACACACTTCGTATTAATTCAGACAGTCAGTACATAGTTTATAAAATGAATTTAATTATTTTTCCCAAACTAACATTTTATACATGACAAGATATGAATAATGAGATGTGATGTGGTGGATGTGAGATGTTGTGATGGAAGCTAGATGTTGTAGCAACCGTTCTTTGTATCTGAGAGAAATTGTGAAATCTGACTGTAAAATAATTTATTGTTTGTTATAAACTAGAGCATTGGTTATTGATAAAAACCTCATCAGACGCAATCTGTTGTGTCTACTACCCGTGTGGAGACCCTTAGTGCAGATCCAGAACTGCCAGAAGTCTGGTGACCTCAAGATATTTGAAGCCGTAGATTAACTCCGATACGACCCGTCCAGTCTTGAGATGTCTCCAGGTCACAACAGGCAGCTGGAATGCTTGTCAGCATCCAAGGTGGATGTTTGAGAGTTGAAGTAGCTCTGAAAAGATCTGTTGTGTCTGTAATCATTTGCAGCGTCACAGAAAAGTTTTGCCTTAAGGTCAAAGGAGTTTGTTTCAAAAGAGGCTTCTTTCCCGATTTGGCCGAATCAGGGGTCAGCTGGAAACTGAATTAATCAGGAAGTAATTCTTGTTTTATTAAACTACTTTGTTATGAGTTTTGGCCGAGTTTGGCCAATCAGAATTTGACACATTTCTGAGTATTTGTAACCTAGGCAACACTGGAGCTGCAGAGCTCAGGCGCCACACCAGGGATTCACAATGACACAGGTGGAGAGCGAGGGTGCAAAACCAGAGGGACACAGACACAAGAGAGCAGAAGTTTGTCTGCGACCTCTTTTATTAACTAAATAAAGCCCCCGTCTAAAAGTATATAACTAAAAAAAAGTTTGAGTCCATAAAAGCAATTAAAACCTGTTCTTCAAGAAAACCCCCAAAGATACTTGGGCTCCTCCGAGATCCACAAAGTCACGCGGAGGGAATTTCCAGGAAGGGAAAGGCGACGTCCCGGCTTCGGCGTCCGACTCCAGCAGTCTCTGGTCTCGCTCTCATCAGGCGCTCGTCTCAGGCGTGATCTCCCGGGGGCTCTCGCCGCTCCTCCCTGACAAGGACAGATCACTGGGGCAGAACCTTTGTCTGTGAAGCAGTGCAATCTCTTTCTCCTCCCGTAGGATCGGCCCATTCGGAGCATCACCCAACATACAACAGTGGAAGCCGTCTACTCACGGATGCAGGCAGAGGTCCTACCTCCGCCCTGCTGTCATTCAAAGGCGTTGCTCCCACTCGTTGTCGCTGCACGCCAAGGATGAACTGCTCCTCCCACGATCCAACCCGTTCTGTGCTACGTCCTCTTATATTAGTCCAGTCCCTCTGCCTTCTTGTTTCTTTGGTCTCTTTTTCCTTCCTGCAGTTCTGCAGCTTCCTTCCTTTATCAGCCTGCTAACTATGCACACTTGGTGCGCTTTCACAGTCATGCCCACCTCTTCAGGTGACTGTCATGTCAACAGTGGCAAAACAATCTAAACTAAACATGCACATAAAACCAACAACACACAACAAAATCATGCAATAACACAAAACTGTTAAGAAATTCCAACAATTATTAAAATAATTTAAAGCAACATAAAGCACACATTCCACTGTGTGACATATTTACCAACATCCCTCAGAAAGCCACGCCCTTCTTCAGATACAAAGATTTCTTAATACTGTGAATAAGAATCTTTAAAACTCTTATGTGAGGTGAATATTAACCTTAATATGTATCTTACTGTAATGTGTATGAGTGTAAACAATGATTAACTTGTTAAATCAAACACATAGTGATTTGTGATGTAAATGGATCATTGTAAGAAAAATATTCATTTCAAATTCATTGATTTAAGCACAGATTTTTCAAACATTTCATTTAAAGGGGCATTATGGAAGTTTGACAGCCAAAACATGTATGGAAATAATAAATGTCTTCTTCATACATTCTCCTGCAATGCCCTGGTCCTGTAGAATGAGCCCTGGCATTTTTATTGTGATTGCCTGTTTTTCTGTAAAATCACAGAAAAAGAGAGCTGCTCAGGTCGAGCAGGCTGCTTCATGCGCGTTCACGCTCAGGCATAGCCCGTAGCATTTGCTATCAGTAGCTTTAGTCTTTGTCGCTGTTCCTAACGCCTAGTGACAAAGCTAGCTACATTTCTGAGGACTCTTAGCTACTTTCTGTAGAACTTTCTTCAAGATATTTCCTACAAATTAGCAACAAAATCGCCATTTTCGCTCCGAATCGTTCTTTGAACATTGTTTCAGCTGTCATAAAGGATATAAATGTTACAGATACAAAGGACATTACTAGCAGTTTAGCTCACCCAGTAAGATGTCGGACTGTCGTGCAGAAGATCCAGGTTTGATTCTGGATGTGAACATAGTTTATTTAGAGTTTCTTTTTTACATTAATGGTCTATTTTTTTTACAGTAAGATGCCCAAATTTTTATTTGAGACTCGCCGAACGGCATTGAATTCACAGATAAAAAAGATGTGGGTTCAAATTTTATTTTGGAACAATTTTTCAAGCAAGGGAAGGGAATGATCTGAACATGCAGGACTGACCCATCTTAAACCTTTGTCGGCTGTGTATGAAGCATACAGAACCAAATTATTTAATTAATTAGCTGTGCGTTCTCCTGCCCTCTGTCCTCTGGGCCACACACACACACACACGCACACACACACACACACACAAACACACACACACACACACACACACACACACACACACACACACACACACACACACACACACACACACACACACACACACACACACACACACAAGGGACTGTCTCAGCTCTTATTTTGATTAAGGAGTGTGCACGAACAGCATGCCGCCTCGTGCACGAGCCTACTATTGAAGCTGCCGTTATGCTTTTGGCCTGAAGGGGCAATCGCGAGCATAAAAATTCAAAACTCCGTAAAGTCCCTTTAAACATCTTGTTCATTCATCACATATGATTATTGTAAGTTTATGAGTTTTAAAATCATGGAGTCTTCATTTATTCAGAGTGAAGAATGTTGATGTCTGGCTTTCATGCAGTGAGTGCAGGAACCTTGGGAGAGAATGTTTGTCTGGGTGTTTTATCTACTTTATGGAAACACGCAATGAGCAGAACCTTCTGGTTTTGGAAGGCCAAACAGAAAGTGGATTTATTTCTGTAGATGAAAGGTTATTATGTTGGTTAATATATAGGTGAAAATTGACCCTTTTGGACGTTACATGTTTCAGGTGGACGAACCTGCAGCCCAAACCAGTTCACCTGCCAGGAAGGCCAGTGTATCTCTCTTAGTTACAGATGTGACCACATGATGGACTGTGTGGACAACTCCGATGAGAGGAACTGCAGTAAGATTCTTATTCTGTCTGTGATGCATCATAATAGTTTAGTATCCGATGTTTTGCTTTCAAATCAGTTAAGGTTTTTCTGAAATTGCAACTATTTAGTAGCTGGAGTAAGCTTGTTTCCTACAGATTATCCACAGTGCACCGAGAAGACCTGTGCTAACGGGGCCTGTTACAGTAACTCTCAGCACTGCAATGGACTGCAAGACTGCAGGGATGGATCTGATGAACTTAACTGCAGTGAGTAAATTAAACAAAACACCAACACAGACCCATTATACCATGCACAAAGGAAATAAGTGTTGAAAACCTGGATATCAGACATCTTTTGAACCCTGTGAATCTAAGGGGAAGAGGTTGCGAGTTGGGCTTGGTTTCTACAGATGCTTCCATTGGACTGGTATCTAGAGAGTTTGGGGGCCAACTCTTTACTTCTCTGGATTTTGGTCTTTGTCAGGTTGACTAACATTAGTCAGCAGCAGTAGCTCAGGATGTACAGCTAATTGTTGGTTTGTAGGATCGATCCCAGACCCCAGCAGAGAATGCTGCTGTTGTGTCCTTGGGCAAGATATGTAACCCGCATTGCCTGCTGATGGTGGTTGGAGGGATCGGTGGCACTTGTGCTCGTCAGCCTCACCTCTGTCAGTGCACCCCAGGGCAGCTGTGGCTACAATGCAGCTCACATTACCATCAATGTGTGTGTGTGTGTGTGTGTGTGTGTGTGTGTGTGCGCGTGCGCGTGCGCGCGTGTGTGTGTGTGTGTGTGTGTGTGTGTGTGTGTGTGTGTGTGTGTGTGTGTGTGTGTGTGTGTGTGTGTGCGCGCGTGTGTGAATGATACATTGTAGTGTAACGCGCTTTGGAGTCCTATAACTCTGAAAGGAGCTTTACCAGTGAGGGTCATGATGAATGAATGGCTAGTTTATTTTCAAACAAGCCTTAAATGGCATGTACAGAAAGAACAGGTAACACTTTACAATAAGGGCTTCTTTATTAGCATTACCATTATTGTTAAAGTGGCAGTGTGTAGCTTCCTAGTGCTAGGGGGCAGTACATACATTTCAGGGTTGTTTTACACCATATCACTGTGCCTGTTGCTAGTTTAAAAAACATTACGGTGAATGTTGTTACCTGTGGAGCAGAAAGCATGCAACCTCAACGATACTCATCAGAGTTTGTTTTGTCTTCATTCAGTTCCATCGAGAGAATGCAATGCCGATTGCATTTTTCTGGTGCTGTAGATTTCTAATCTGCTCAGGGTACTGTGCCTGCCAATGATGTCATCAAACTACGGCAATACCACTCGGCTAAAATATATTGCATCTTTTCCCATTCTGTTCTTTCACATAGGTTTTAGAAAGTTCAGAAGTTTTGTTATTAAATTCATGTTAAATTATTTTACTGGCAAAATGTTTCGAAAAGTGGTGATGTAACATCCGTAGGTCATACGTCCAGCCAGTCATCTACAGTCATCCACAGGCTCAGGACCCTCAGCTGACCAGACGGAAACATGGTGTCAAATATGGCGTGCCCAAGAGACTTAGACCTGCTCTCTATGTACTTTAGAGATGATTTTTATGGTTATGTGTTACGAAGCCTCCAATATTTTGCAATGACTGGACATCATTTCATTCATTTTTAACAACATTACAATGGATATTTCCAGAGATTATTGGTAAAACTACACATTGGTCTCTTTATGGTTAGGACAAAGGGCTGGTGGTGTGTGTGTGTGTGTGTGTGTGTGTGTGTGTGTGTGTGTGTGTGTGTGTGTGTGTGTGTGTGTGTGTGTGTGTGTGTGTGGGTGTGGGTGGGTGGGGGGGTCTACTTTCGACTGCATCTTTGTTTAGCTAGCTTAGTTGCCACAAAGGTAAAGTATGCTGGAAAATGTTAAAAGAACACAACCAAATGTGTGTTGGTAGTTGTTGTATAAAGAAGGGATGCATCAGCATCAACATTGGTATTAGCTGATCTTAGTCATTTTTTAACATATCTGTTTGAATCCGACAGCTAAAACTGGACTGATACTAATGACTGCTGTTTATTTTAATCTGGCCAGGTGCATATGTGTATCAGGAGGGGGAGGGGAGGGCTTGACCATGTGGTGTTTGTTTGGTCATGTGATAGTGTCAGTGATGCAGGATTGTGAAGATGTTTAACTGAAATATGGAAGTAAGGAAGGGGGTCTGGTTGCTTTTACATGATGTAAAAATTATTGGTAAATATCAGTTATCGGCCATAACAACTGTATTAATATGACATATTGATATCAGACCAAAATCTTGAATAATGTTGGAAATATTTCACACGAGCATAAGTATCAGTTGTGTTAATTATCATCAGACACATTGAACTTGCAATAGTTAAAATCGTAATTACTCAAATGTATTTATTCTTGTGTACATTGTGGCTTTAACTAACAAAGTAAGGACAATGGCACTGGAATTTTAGTTTGTCTATATTATTTTTCTGTACTGACACAGGTCCACACGTTAGAATAAGTTTGTGGTCACTCCACTGCTTTTGTTAATTCTGCCATGTTTATTTTATTTCATCAGCCCAACATTGTCCCATCCACCAGTTTCAGTGTACCAATGGCTACTGTGTCCCACAGTCGTTTGTGTGTGATCACTGGGATGACTGTGGGGACAACAGTGATGAGCAAGGCTGTGGTGAGGATCACTCCTATGTTTACATAAACAACGTGCAGTTTTCCAGCAGCACATTTACTGTTATTTATCACATTTATCTTTAAGTGTACCCGAGCTGTAGTGGTAGTGAGTTTGCATGTTCCAGTGGTCGTTGCATTCCTCAGCGTTGGGTGTGTGACAAGTTCAACGACTGCGGGGACTACAGCGACGAGAAAGGATGTGGTGAGAAAACTTGACTCGTGCTTCCCAGTTTTAATTTAGACATATTTATATTAACACTAAATGTCTATGAAATACTGTATAAATGTTTAGATCCACACTTGACTCTTTTAAGATTTTGTCTCCAAACAGCCCAACTTTCTTCTGACCTTTTAGAGAGAGTCTGAAGTTCCTTCTCTGGACTTTGCTGACTTTTCAAAGCAAATTATGCTGTTTGTACTTGAAAGCCGAATAAAGAGAATAATAGATGAGCTGCTAGTTATGTCTTATTATGCTGTCTTCAAGAAATAGAGAAAGAATCCAGTAAATGCCTGCTACAGGACCTAAGGAAGTCATCAATTGATAAAACTCTGTAATCCAAGTTTTCAGCTAATAGATGTTTGGCAAACAGCCAGCAGGTGCTAAAACATAGTTTTTAAAAATAAACATAGATTTAACTAATGAAAATGGAACTAACTGCATCTTCATTACAAGCTGTTGGTAACAAGATTCCCTAAGATCCAAATTTAAACTTTTCTTTGCAAAGCCTTCTGTCTCGGCAAACAACAAGAGTTTAGTAAGCTTTTCATGCCTAATTGTTTCACACGTAAGTGGAAACATCTACAAAACATTACATGGAAAATGGTCAAGTGCTGGTCAGGTCCCATCGGGTCCTCTTGGCGTGTGGGACTCCAGAGGCAGCCAGCAGGTACCAGCAGTCCAAGTGGAATGCAGCTCGGGTGGTCACGGAAGCAAAAGCCCATCCGGCGCCTCAGGAGGGGAAAGTGATGTGCTTCCAAAATTGTTTATAATGGGGATGGTGTGCTGCTGACTTCAAAGACCACCTCAATTCCAGGAAGGAAACAAAGCAAAGTCTCTGGTGCTGATATCACTGAGGTGGTCAAAAAGCTCCTTGGTGGCAAGGCCCCAGGGGTGGACAAGACTTCATCCAACCAATCTACATGTATTTTGTGTATTTGGAAAAGGCATTTGACCGCGTCCCTCAGGAAGCCCTTTGGGAGGTACTGTGGGGGTATGGGGTACCAGGCCCCTTGATATGAGCTGTTAGGTCCCTGTATGACCGGTGTCAGAGCTCGGTCCATATTGCTGCTGTATTGCAGTGAGAGTTGGACTCCACCATTGCTGCCCTTTACCACAGACTGTTAATAACTTTTATGAACAGGATTTCTTGGCACAGCCAAGGTGTTGAGGGGTCAGTTTCCATGGCCTGAGGTTCAGGTCTCTGCCTTTTTGCAGATGATGTGGTCCTGTTGGCTTCATGAGACCATGATCTCGGTTTGCAGTATGAAGCAGCTGGGATGAGAATCGGCTTCTCTAAATCTGAGACCATAGTATTGAGTTGGAAAAGAGTAGACTGCCTTCTCCAGGTCAGGAATAAGGTCCTGCCTAAAGTGGAGAAGTTTTTTTTTTTTTTTTTTTTTAACGTGTCCTGTCTGGCTGTGAAGCAAGCAGAATTGATGTCTGAATGCTGGTAACAAGCCTTACAGTTTTACTCTCAGGTGGAGCATCAGAGCATCTGCTTTTAATGTCTCAGGTGGAGCATCAAAGAGTCTGCTTTTAATGTCGCACCTGATATTTAAAACTTTATTGTTATTGTTTTTGAATGCTTTGTAATTTCGACCAGACACGGAGACAGAGGTGAAAGAGAAAGGAAAAGAGAAAAGGTGGGGAGAGAGGGGGTTAGGTGGGGGGGGGATTCAACAAAAATAAACAATAATGAACAAGAGTCTGCTTCTAGACCTGCAAAATGAGACGAGAAAAAAGCAAAACATAACAAAAAAATGGGACACAACACCAATATAACAAAATCAAGCTATCACTGCGTCAACTTGATGAAGAAATATATAATCAATCATTGTTTAACTAAACAGTCACACGATAATATACCACAGTGCATTGAGTGCCCACCATAGTCTTAAGACATGTGTTGAACGTGCCCAAGCCCATACTTATGAGAGCACCATGTGAGCACCTGTGTGTGTACACGCGCTTGTTTATGTAAGGTTTATCTATAGGAGCGTCCAATAGAGAGTGTGAGGGACCACAGATCTGCCCCCCAAAGACGCGTAGGAGACGGGGGGGAGCTCCAAGTCCCAGAGATCCAGGCGCTGCCCCAGAACACAGGAACCCCAAGGAGCCCGCAACCAGAAAGGCCCCCGCCCCCCTCGAGAGGCACAGAGGATCGCCCCGGGGGGCCACAACCAGCAGCCGGCAGAGCCCCGGGAGATATCAGCGGCAAGTCCTCAGGCCTGCCCGCAGCCTCCCACCCCCTAGCCGGCCGAGTCCGGGGCCCAGCGACCCGGGACCCAGGGGCGACCACCCCCGCCGGGGACCCAGCAGAGCCCAGGGACCCAGACCCCCCCAGGCCGCCACCGGGATTGATCAGGCAGATGCCAAAAATCTTAAACTCCCTGACCCGGGAGCCACGAACACTCAGGCAGACCAAGGCATCACACCCACACCAGGTGTGACAGGGGGGAGGGGAGACGAAGATCTATATCATCAAAGGAGGTCCCAGGAGAAGGGAGGAGTCAAAGGCCCCACCTGACATATACAGTCATACACAAACACAGTCACACACTCCCTCCCTCATGCTCACACATGCACATACAACCAAAGACTTACAAAAATACACGCCGGACACCCATTCATGCTCCCCATACACACCCTATTCACTCTGGTCCCGGTAATGCTGCACATGGGGTACAACCACCACCGGTTACCAGAGTTTGACCCTTTCTGCTGGGGTGCTGATGAGCAGGCTCCCCCGCCCACCGCCGAGCACAGCAACCCACCACCCCAGAAGTTTAAGGGTCTCAGAGTAGACTCGCTGCTCCTTCACATCAAGTGGAGCCAGTTGAGGTGGCTCAGGCATCTGGTTAGGATGCCTCCCTGGTGAGATTTTATGGCCATGTCCAACCAGGAGGAGACCAAAGAAAGACCCAGGACACGCTGGAGGGACAAGGCTTTTTGGACTGGCCACGGAACGCCTTGGGACTCCCTCAGAGATTACTCATTGGATACAAAATAGAAATAAGCAAGGAATGACCTAAGACTTTTGCACAGGACTGCAGGCTAAAAAGTGCCTTTTCACAAATAAGATTTAGTCAAATGTTTGAAATATGATAATTTACTATTTACAAATTGATTTGAATACTGCTTTGAGTTGGTAATGAAACTTCTCATGAAACAATCTTTGACATTCCAATACCTATACATTGTATTTCTGTTTCTTTGGCTTTTAGACAGCAATTCAAGAGACTGTTACCCTGGTGAGTGGGGGTGCCCTGACTCAACCGTGTGTATACCTGTGGGTAAAGTGTGTGATGGCAAACCCGACTGTCCTGGAGGTACAGATGAGACCAACTCCACAACACACCAAACATGCAGTAAGTCTGCCTTAAACTGTATGTTTTTTTAATGAATTTGTACAGTTGGCACAGGCTGTTAGTGTCCACTTATATTATAGTGAAATCTATTCACCCAATGTGTCAAATCATACATTTTTATCACTTACTTAAACATTTTTTATTACTTACTTAAACATGGTGCGCTGAGCTCAGAATCTAGCTAAGGTAGTTTTATAACTAAGGATGTTCGATATATGCTTATTTTTTCCCAATATCTGGTAAACTGATATAGACTAACTCTTAATTTCTGATACTGATACAAACCGATATTAATATTTGCAAGGTCCCCCCGATCAAACAAGAAAAACAATAATTAACAAACATCACATATCTCCTATCAAGCACACCTAAACTGCAAAATATGACTACTTCAATTAAAGTTAGCCAATGATGTTGTGTTTCATTTGTCTTGAGGCACGGCTAAATCCCATTCTCCCTGAGATAATCCTGTCAAACGAAAAAACTCTAAAACTATTCCTCTTTGACATTTTGAGTAAGAGGAGAAAGTTGAAAGGTTTGATGAATATTATGTTCATGATATGTAAAAGTTATTAAAAGAGCTAAAACCAAAACAGATCATTTCCAATATTACATTTTAATGTCAATATCAACCGATAATAATGGTAGGCCCATGATGTTGGACATACCTAGTTATGATCATAACTTTGTTTTTCCTTCTTTGCCACCTTTACACATATAGATTCACTTTTCAAGTCTGTGATTTTCAGGAAATTACGGCTGTCATTTGATCCTAATGTCCTTGTGACGATTTGGTCGTGCTCATACTTCCTGTCCATGAAATAATTTGGCTCATTGTTAATTTGTATTTTCAGGCTTGGATCGGTGTTCCGTGTTGAGCTGTGAGTTTCTCTGCCACCCTTCTCCTCAAGGTGGAGCGTGTTACTGTCCAGAGGGCTTTATAGTAGCAAATGACAGTCGTTCCTGTGTAGGTGAGTACCACACTTGTTGCATGAACAAAAATCTGTTGGCTACAGCGTTGCTTAGACGAAAATTACAAATACTCAATAGGAAGTTTTCTGAGAAACCTCAGAAGTTTGTGTTTTGGGTATTAACTATCATAGATTGCATATTCTTGTTTTTTTTTAATGAGTCAGCATTGGTGAATTGATGTTATTGGCCTAATTTCACAGTTCTGTGGTTCCAAATTACTCATAAATCTTCATCTCACTAACACACTTGTCGGTTCTATGTTCTAGATTACAATGACTGTGAGATCTGGGGGATCTGTGACCAGCTGTGTGAGGATCGCCCTGGGACACACCACTGTAGCTGTGCAAATGGATACTTTTTGGAGCAAGGTCATATTTGCAAGGCTAACGTATCAGGTACAGATCAACATGAAACAGGACACTATAACGAAGTGCTAATCTGGTATAATTTGCCTGGTATTGAAAATATAAATATCTGTTTATAATGTTTGTTTTGCTTTTAGTTGGATTACCGCAGCTTATTTTTACCAATGGGGGTGATGTGATGATGGCTGACATACATGGGCGTTTTGTCAGAACTCTGGTGCCATCTCAGGGCAGAGGTTTTGGTGTAGGGGTGGCCTATGATTTTTATAGCAACCTAGTCTTCTGGAGTGATACATACAACCAAAAGGTCGGTCTGGTCAACTGATTACATGATCTTCCACCTTTCTGTTTTAGTTTATTTAGATGACTGCAAAATCAACAGTCCTCATTATTTTCCTTAATGGACACTTGACTGAAGAAAAATGCTTTTAAAGGTGAAGTTTTACCTCAAACCTTTTTCATTCCAGGTTTACTCTGCCAACTACAATGGGGAAAACATCAAGGAGGTTTTGACTACAGCAGTCCGTAATGTACAGAATCTTGCTGTAGACTGGGTCAACCTAAAACTGTACGTTTTAGAGGCCATGGTGGAGCGCATCGATATGTGCGACTTTAGTGGAGGTAACCGGGTGACACTTATCGCTGAAAACCTGGAGAGCCCTCATGGCCTTGCACTGGATCCTACGGTGGGGTGAGTTTAAAGGCCTCAGTCGACAGAAGAGCAAACCCAAAGGTGTAATTGTGAAAGTTCTAAAAAATGATAAAAACCCTGAAAATTTTAATACGGTGCAAGAGCAGAATACAGGAATGATTAAGAAAGGAAGATAATTTGCTAGAGAACAGAGGCATAACATTTGATGTAATTCATAAAGTAGAACCAGGTTTAAGTGGAGGGCAAATATCAGGACCAACTGAAATGAACCAAAAGCAGACAGAAGAACTCTAGAACCAGCAAACAAATCATACAATTAAACCAAAATGGTCTTTATGAAATTAGACAAAGTACCACATAATCCTAAATGTAATCATTATCATAAATGGTGTAAGCAAAGGAAGACAAAAACATAAAACAGATAAATCACCCCAAAAAATCTTCCACAAACACTGACATTTGTTTTGCTTTGACAATACCCCATTAATCTTTACTACTTGAATCATATTCTTTTTCTTTTGCAGCTACATGTTCTTCACAGACATGGGTGTCGGGCAGAAGAAGACAAAGCTTGAACGTGCCTTTATGGATGGCAGTAATCGTGTGGAGTTGGTCAAAAACAGACTTGGCACACCAACTGGAGTTACCCTTGATATTGTCACCAGGAGGGTCTACTGGTCCGATAGCCACTTTGACACAGTGGAGACTGTCACATATAACGGTTTGAACAGGTACTTTTTGTATCTCATCTATATCTAATCTACAGAGATTATTAAAACGATCTGTGGTACGTTCTTGATAATTGATCTTATTGTGACTGTTTTCAGGAAAATAGTTCTCAATGGTGGAACACAGTCTCCACATCCCTTTGGGATGGCTGTGTTTGAAAACCATGTATTCTTTACCGACTGGACAAAGATGGGTGTCATTAGAACCAACCGGTTCAACGGCAGCGACCCAGTACTTCTTTATCGTACTGCAAAGCGGCCAGGCCATGTTGTGGTATCACACCCTGTCCTGCAAACCCTTGGTAAATAGCCACACAATATCAAACTGAAACTGGTCTGACTGAGTTTAAAACATTATTTAGTCTTGTCGGAACCTTCTAGAAATTTGTTTGTCATGAACAACATAAGAACTAGGAAATGCCTCAGATTAAACATAGAGATGATGGTGCTGTCGTGGATCAATCATATCTTTCTTGCCTTTCAGCAATGAACCCTTGTGGGAGAAACAACGGTGGGTGTCAGCACATCTGCGTGTTGAGTCACCGCTCTGACAATAATGGTTTGGGCTTCCGCTGTAAGTGTCGCTATGGATACGACCTTCAGCATGATCATCGAACCTGCTTCAGTGAGTTTTCCATTGATTGAATGAAAACAGTATATTCTGTGGGTTACATTTTTACCTATGAAGGAGACTATAAATCCTGCAACTGTTTATGTACAAATTACAAAATTTTAGAATTATTTATTGACACAAATTTTGCTCAAGGTGCGGTAGAAGTATGGTGCACTGAAGCATATGTAGACTAGAATAGGCAATGTCAAGAGATTAGTTTTACCTTTGATAGTTTGAATAACTTTTGACTCGTTCTTCATACAGAGGTGAAGGACTTCCTGCTGTTGGCCACCTCTTTGGTAGTGAGAGGAATCCCTCTTAACTTAACCCTCCAGGAGGATGTTATTCTTCCACTAACAGGACTTGGAACATCGTTCTCTGGCTCTGCTGTGGAATTTGATGGGAATGAGGAGGCTGTGTTTTTCAATGACAGGTCCTCAGGCCTCATTTACAAGTCCAACCTCAATGGCACCAGTGAGTTTTATTTCATATGTATAGTATACCATTGAACCAACAGACCATCATGGTACATCAGCTGTGCAAATAGCGTATAATGACGCATTCGTCGTTGTCTGCATTTGTTCTTGAAAGTTCACCCTTCTTTATTTGGGCCACTAATCATTCTTGTTTTATTTGTGCACCATCAGTTCAGCAGATATTAACTGGCTACAGAGTGGGAAGTATTGATGCTATGGCTTATGATTGGACCTCCAAGGTTTTGTTCTGGACCACAACTACCTACAGGGCGATTGTGGCTTTCAGAGTCACAGATAAGTCCAGGCGAGACATTGTCACTGGATTGAGGAACCCAAAGGGTATCGCAGTCCATCCCAGTGCTGGGTGAGTGTAATTGATGATGATGAAGAACTATGACTTTAAAAATTGCTCATGCTAATTTATTTCAATCATCCACCTAAATGGTGATCCATAGCTACTTGTTCTGGTCAGACTGGTATCGTCCAGCAGTCATAATGAAAGCCTTCACTGATGGCAGCAATGCTGTTCCTCTCGTCAACACAACGCTGGGATGGCCTTATGGACTTGCTCTTGACTATGTGTAAGTACATTGATGATATATGTTGTACAATCCCATGTCTCCTTTTGATGAAAAAAAAATACTAGATATGCTGTGATAAAATGAAACCTTTGGGTTCCCCAGCTGATTATCTGAAATGGCTGCTTTACAGAATGGACAGGCTTTACTGGGTGGATTCCCTTCTTGATCAGATCGGTCACATTGGCATTGAAGGAACTGACAGACAGACTTTTACCAACATCGGCCAAATCACACAACCCTACTCTTTGACTGTTTATTCAGGTGATGTTATGTTACAACCTTTTACACTTTTTAAGGGATCTTCGTTTTTTTCTTGACAGAAATAACTTTAAAATAGAAAAACACCTTATTATTGCTTTGTGACATTGCTTATACTGATGAGTAAATGTCTGTGTTATTTAGCCAGTCCCAAAATTACAAATATTCTATTCCTACTAAAAGATGTGAAATGCTGAAGCTGTAGCTTCTGCTTTGTAGACTACTTGTACGTGTCAGATGTAAGGACTAGAGGAATATTCGAAATGAGGAAAAGTGATGGAGGAGGCAATATCATGATCCGGCAAGGAGTCCCCGGTGTCATGAACATCAAGGCCTACACAGCTGACCTCCACAGCAGTAAGCTTTCTCACACAAATAAAATGAAGTCATTGTATTGAGCCAGTTTGTCTTAGGATAAACCTACTGACTGGTTCTTTGCTATCCATCCCACAGCCTTCACCAGCCGCTGTAATGTGGTGCCTAATGGGCTCTGCAGCCACTTCTGTTTCCCAACTCCCTCCTTCAGCCGGGTGTGCGGCTGTCCGTATGGAATGAAGCTTCAGCCCAATCAGAGAGATTGCATTAAGGATGAATCGGTTCCCCCACCTGACAACAACTGTGGTGACTACTCCTTTGAGTGTGATGAAGGCCGCTGTAGGCCCAACTCCTTCCGCTGTGATGGGATTATTGATTGTGTCGATCGAACTGATGAGACCAACTGCACTAATACAGGTACATGTAATTTTAAATTTGCATATGGTGATATTGGAGAAAACTGTCATAATAAATCAACTTTTATATCATTTCCAGGAGCCACCTGCTCTCCACTGGCTTTTACCTGCAACAACAAGCACTGCATTTACTCCAGCTGGCGCTGTGATGGCTTGGATGACTGTGGAGATGGTTCAGATGAAGTGAACTGTCCCACTCGTCTCCCCACCACATGTGCTGCAAACTTCTTTACCTGCAACAACAACAGGTGTATCGCTAAAACATGGGTATGTGATGGTGAGAACGACTGTGGTGATGGGTCAGATGAACACAACTGCAGTAAGTTTTTCCTCCTTTGGTATTGTTTGAAAGTTTTAAACAACTGTTCAAAATAAAAGCTGTATGTGATTTCCAGATTCAACCATCACCACCTGTCCTTCCGGCTTCTTTTTGTGTCCTGACCATCGATGTATCAGCAACTTCTATGTGTGTGATGGAGACCAGGACTGCCTGGATGGATCAGATGAGAAAGATTGTGGTAAGAATCTGAAATTCGGAGTTCTGACACACATTTGTGATAGCACATATAGCGTTTATTTTCCTGTGTTTCTCCTCTTTTACTTTATGCAGAATTTTCCTGTCAGTCCTATGAGTTTGCTTGTGCCAGTGGAGATCAGTGTGTCAGTTCCAGTTACCGCTGCGATGGCGTGTTTGACTGCAGGGACCATTCAGATGAACAAAATTGCCGTATGTCAATCGGACTCCATTACAATGCAAAACCATATTTATTAGGGATGTTTGATGCTTCACATTCTGCTTTGACACCTGCAGCCACCCGAGGTCCAGGCCTTTGCCACAAAGATGAGTTCCAGTGCCAGACGGATGGTTTCTGCATACCAGACCAGTGGGAGTGTGACGGCCATCCAGATTGTGAAGATGGATCTGATGAACACAACTCGTGCCCAGCTGTCACCTGCAGGCCCAATGATTTCCAATGTGCCAACAAGATGTGCATCCCCACAAGCTGGTTGTGTGATGGGGAGAATGACTGCCGGGACATGAGTGATGAGCAGAACTGCCCCACCCCTCCATATAGCTGTCCCTCTGGACAGTGGCTCTGCCCCACTGATCAGGTGTGCATCGACCTTAACAAGGTGTGCAACGGACAGAAAGACTGTCCCAATGGAGCAGATGAGTCACCTATCTGCAGTGAGTATTCACTCTATGATTTTTTTGTACAAAGTTATCTACAAATAAATCACTAATGAACCAATGTACGTTAAAAAGATGAAGATGACTGTGCACTGAACAATGGAGGCTGCAGCGATGGTTGTGTCCAGGGACCTTTTGGGGCTGAGTGCACCTGCTCACCAGGATTTCAACTCATGAATGACTCCAAGACTTGTGATGACATTGATGAGTGTCTGATCCCTGGTTTCTGCAGTCAGCAGTGTTACAATGAGAGAGGAAGCTTTAGATGCCACTGTTCAGACGGTTACATCCTGGAACCCGATGGACGCACCTGTAAAGCTACTGGTAAGTAACTAGACAATAATACAAGAAAGCTGCTAATTCAGTATTTATAAGTAGCTGTAGGTTATACAGTATACATGTATTTAGTTCAAATGAAAATTAAACAGATTCAGTAAAAAATAAAAATAAAAATAAAAAGATTGAAAAAAAGAAAAAAAAAGTTGAATTTCTCAACTAAAACAACCCACGCTGTTCGTTTGCTTTTTGTGTTTCAATGTTTATACTGGCTATTAGAGTTTACACATGGATACCTGAAACAATACATTATCTTGCTTTTAGACCACGAGGCAGCTTTACTTTTGGTTTCCAGACGTAGTCAGATCATTGCCAGCCAGGTGAACGTGAACCCCCCCTTGATGCGTCCAGTGGTCAGTGGTTCAAGCATCATAACCGTTGACTTTGACCGTGTGACATCCAGAATCTACTGGGCTGATTCCTCACTGAAGAAAATACGAAGTGCCTACCAGAACAGCACTGATATACAAGACGTGAGTAACATGTTGGCACACACGCAACATACATTAATGTAGTGTGTGTTAGCTACACAGGGACTAGATATCTGAGTATATTTTGCAAACTTCTACTGCACAGAAGAACATACAACATATACTCAGAGTGCAAAAGTCTCATTGTTGGACGTGTGTCTGGTTTAGGTATTCTCCAGTGGTCTGATGGAACCAGAGACTATTGCTGTGGACTGGGTGGGTCGAAATCTTTATTGGACTGACTCTGTTATGGAAAACATTGATGTTTCTACCCTGGATGGTCGCTTTCGAAAGGTCCTTTTGAGCAAGAATATCACAAGTCCTCGTGGTCTTGTTTTAGACCCTCGTAACTAGTGAGTAGTTACTGTGTGTGTGTGTGTGTGTGTGTGTGTGTGTGTGTGTGTGTGTGTGTGTGTGTGTGTGTGTGTGTGTGTGTGTGTGTGTGTGTGTGTGTGTGTGTGTGTGTGTGTGTGTGTGTGTGTGTGTGTGTGTGTGTGTGTGTGTGTGTGTGTATGACTGTACCAACACCAAACGTAAGATAATGAAACTATTATAAAACCCTTTGTCATTTCTTCCAGTACGTACCTTATGTTCTGGTCAGACTGGGGTCAGAACCCCAGGATTGAGCGAGCCGCCATGGATGGATCAGCAAGACAAGTCATCGTCAGAACTAAGGTCTTCTGGCCTAATGGGCTGACTCTGGACTACACCACACGCAGAGTCTACTTTGCAGATGCTTACCTGAAATATATTGACTACTGTGACTATGATGGTGGAAACCGCCACCAGGTCATGGCGAGTGACATGGTGGGAAACACAAATTTACATAGGCTTACTGTCAGAAGATAATTTGATCTTCATTTGCCAGAAGGAGTTTCAAAACCGACTGTGGCTTTTTCCACACCAGATTCTTCAGCACCCACATGGGATGACAATCTTTGAAGACAGCATCTACTGGTCAGAGCGCTATACCAGCAAGGTGATGAGAACCAACAAGTTTCATGGAGGAAACATCACTATTGTAATGAACAATATCTACCAGCCCATGGGCATTGTTATGGACCATCCCATCAAACAGCCTGCAGGTAGCTCACAGTCTTATATTAAATATAACTATATGAGTAAAAATCTATCCTGTCTAGTTTTATTGAGACAAGTGTTGGATAAATGTTTTCAGCCTGAGGGGTAACTGTTTTTCTGTTTTTAGCCATCAACCCTTGTAAAGAGCACCTTTGCTCACAGTTGTGCCTGCTGTCAAATCTGAGACCCAGATACTACACCTGCCACTGTCAGTCGGGGTGGAAGCTGGATACAGACCAACGCTCCTGTATCAAAGGTAGTTGGGTTTAGCATAAACTAACTTAGTGGAAAACAATTCAAATCACACAATTTCCATTGTCTAGATTAGACAGTTACGATCTTTGTAGTATTTTAGTAGTAGTAGTATATTTTACTTACATGTTCAGATGAGGCTCCCTTCCTGATGGTGGTCAGGGATTCTGTGATCCTTGGCATTCCGTTGGACCCCTCTGATCCCTCAAACAACGCCATGGCCCCTGTGTCTGGTATCAGTCAGGGACGAGACATTGACTTTGATGACCAGGAGCATTTTGTCTATTGGGTGCAGAGCACTGTGAGTAAACATCTGAAGTTAAGTTGGAGAAATGTCATTTATTGGAAAATGACTCCGAGACGATCATTGTTTTGTCTGTACTTTTGGCCCATTTACATAGATCAGTAGTTGATTAACTTTTTCTTGAGATGTTTATTTAAAAAGACAAGATCTCTTAATTTTTCTGTTATCAGGGTTCCATTTGGCGTGTGAAAACCAGCGGCACCAACATGTCTGAGTTTGCTCCAGCTGCATTCATGGGCTCACCATCTGGTTTGGCTTTTGATTGGATAAGCAGAATGATGTATTACACCAACCCTACCAGCAGAACCATTGAAGTGAGCACCTGCTTGAAACAAGGCCTTTTTCTCCAAGCCTCTAAAAACTTTGGTTCTTTGTGTTTCTTCTTTATCAGTTTTTAAGTGAATGAAAATAATCTGTACTGGTGTAGGTAATCCGTGTGGATGGAAATGAGAAGTACCGGAAAACCCTCATCACCTCAAATGGGAAACCAGAGGGAGTAGGAGAGCCCATTGGAATTGTCCTGGATCCAGTTCGAGGGTAAAACATCTGAGAGGGATTTTACTTTTCATTTATTCACTGACTTGATGCAAATTGAGGCCCCCCACCTTAAATTCCTCAGTTGTTTTGCACTTATTCTTTTAAACTCTCCACAGGAAACTATTTTGGACAGACAAAGGCTCAGATAGTGGAGTTCCTCCCAAGGTTGGCAGTGCTGACATGGATGGAGGCAACCCCAGGAATCTGTACACCGAAAACCTGGAGAACATAGGTTTTATCACTGCTGACATCTCAGCCATGAAACTTTACTGGGGGGTAGCGGGCTCAGGGCTGGTACGTGCAGATCACTAGTTATGTTATGTTTACATCATATATTCATTCCCACAAAGTTTAAAGACATGTTTGTGTATTTCTTTATAGCTGACAGAGTTTGTGTTTTAACTGCTTATCCGTTTTTACCATGTCAAGAATTAAAATCAAAACCTGAAAACCTACGACGTTTAGTTTGTTCTTGTTTAAACTGTTTCTAATTACTTCTGCTTCTTTGTTTGCCTAGATTGAGAGCGGCACCATGGATGGTGTAACCCGTGTGACTGTGGTCACTGGCCTCTCTCATCCATGGGGGCTGGCCATCTACCAGAACTACCTGTACTACACCGATCTGGACTATGAAGTCATTGAGAGGGTGGAGAAGGGAAATGGTGCAAATATGGTGGTCATGAGGAGTGGCATGTCTGGACTACGTTCCCTCAAAGTGCATGCCAGAGACAGTATGTAGATTCACTAAGTTTTGATTGAAAACCAAATCCATTGTAGGTCTTTGACCTCTCTACATTGTCATCTCAGATTCAGCAGGTTCCACCAATGCCTGCAGCTCCAACAATGGAGGCTGCCCACAACTCTGCCTCCCGAAACCAGACAATCAAAAGACCTGTGCATGCACCACGGGATTTTACCCCTCTCAGGACGGCACACGCTGTGAACAGTACGAATCGTTTGCTGTTGTCTCTACCCTTAAATACATCCGTGGCTTCCACATAAACAGCTCTGACCACTCAGAGGCGATGGTGCCTGTTGCTGGAAGTAGGTTGGCTTTCCATACTTTTGCATTATATTAAACACCCAATTGCATAATATGTGATTTCTTTTAAAATTTCAATTGGTAACATTTTGCTAACAACAGCTGATTATTTATTTTCAGCATCCTATTCCATTAAGGACAAAGTGGACCTCCACATTGAGTCAGGCTTTGTGTACTGGAGTGACAACAGCACTTATACTTCATACAGAGGGATCTTCAGGTCCAAAACAGATGGAGGAAGTTATAGCCACATTATCAGCACAGGTGTTGGAATAAGAGGCATTCAGGGTCTGGCAGTAGACTGGATTGCAGGTACAATGACAAAGAGAAGAAGATTAAATAAGGTTAGGACCTGCTTCTTTACCATTCTCCATCTATTTTGTCAGGTAACTTGTACTTTTCCAATGCCTTTGATGGTGAAACCTTCCTAGAAGTGCTCGCCATCAACACCACCTACAGAATGATCCTCCTTAAGAGCTCCCAGGACCAGCCCAGAGACCTGGCAGTCAGCCCCAAACTTCGATATCTTTTCTGGGCCGATGGTGGCCAAACACCCAAGATTGAGCGTGCCTTGCTAGATGGCACAAACCGCACAGTTCTGGCATCAAATAGCCTAGCATCACCTCGTGGTCTAACAGTTGATTACACTAATGACTTTCTCTATTGGACTGACGATGTTCTTGATATGATCTCCCGAATGGCCGTGGATGGAACACAGAGGCAGATTATTCGTTTTGGGAGCCGCTATCCATCTCCTGTAGGAATGGCTGTTTTTGGTAATAACATGCTGTGGGTGGATAAAAAGCTCGGTAAGCTCTTCCAGGCCAGCAAGGACCCAGCTAATACCGACCAGGCAGTGGTGAGTCATACAAAATTAACGGGTGGGTTTTGTTATAACTATATAATTTGGTCACCTTCCATTGAAATAACATAATAATGCACACATCTGGTGGTGTTTGGAGGGACCGGTGGTGCCTGTGTACGGCAGACTCGCCTCAGTCAGTGTGGCCAGGGGCAGCTGTGGCTACTATATATCTCATCACCACCAGAGTGTGAATGTGTGTGTGAATGGCTGATTGTGTTGTAAAGTGCCTTGGGGGGGGGGGGGGGGTCCAGGACTCTAGAAGGCGCTATATCAAATACAGGCCATTTACCATTTTACCACATCTCACTTAAAACACAAACTATATAACATAGAATATAGAATATTCTAGCAAAGTACTTCCAATACATACTGTTTCTAATCCAATTCACATAAAATGTCTCTGCACTTGAGATTACATTTTTTTAAAGACAACTGCAATGAAAACTCCATTTTGGGGTTAGTAGAATATACTACATGGCTGGTCAGCAAGTATTAGCAGCTGGCAGCAGGAATAATAAAAGTGGATAGTTACTGGATGTGCAAATAATGTAACGATAGACAAATAAAACATTTTGTGTGATATAATCCTAAATGTTAGAAAAAATTAGCTAATTTCAGAGGGTTTGATCTAAATTCAAAATTACTTTTTTAATGATAGAAGTGATTTTTTTTCATACAATAACAAAACAATAAAACTCATTTTTAACGTGTTCAGGTAATCCGTGACAGTCTTGATGGGCTGATGGATGTCACCATCTTTGACTCTCACGTCCAGCCTACATCTGCCAACCAGGTAGGCTTCAACCCCTGCCAGGAGAACAACGGCCGCTGCCAGCAGCTCTGCTTTGCCATCCCAAACCAGGAAAATCCCAAATGTGGTTGTGCTCATGGCTCACTGCTTGGTAATGGAGTAACATGTGGTTATGGTCTAGATGAATTTCTAGTTTTCACCACAGACTACACCCTGAATAGCCTGAGATTAGACCCAGGCGATCACAGCACCCCCTATCCAACGGTGAACCTGGGCTACAACTTAATGGCTCTGGATTATGACTTCAGGGAGAAGCGGATTTTCTTTACCCAGTATTTGGGTTTAGGTCGGAGCAAGATTGGATATGTTAGCACAACATCTGTCACCAGCCCTCCTGTTGTCATTGCCTCAAGTGAGTTTAGGTCTGAATTTTTCACTTCTTTCAGATTCGTATGATTGATTATCATTCTAAATACAATCCAACGTCTGTTCTTTCTGCTCAGACTTGGATGATCCAGAAGGACTTGCGTATGACTGGATCAACAAGCGTCTCTACTTCACTGACTACTACAGACGTAATATCCAGTCGATGGGTGTGGATGGGTCCAATCGCACGATTATTGCACATGCAAACTACCCCAGAGCCATCATTGTTGACCCGTGTTACGGGTAAAAAGAGCAAATTTAATCAACTATCTAAAGACTTAGAATCGTTGTGTAGTATTTATGAAGATGTTTCTCCTTCTTGTGGTTCCCAGTTATATGTACTGGTCCGACTGGGGCTATCCGGCTAAGATTGAGAGAGCAACGCTTGGTGGAAACTTCCGCAGCGCCATCATCAACAGCAGTCTAACAACACCAAACGGCCTGTCTCTGGACTATGAGGAGAGGATGCTTTACTGGGCTGATGCGTCTCTGTATGTAGAAATGTTTCTAGTTAAAGTAAAAGGGGTTCGTACTCCTCCTTTAAATTTAGTTTTCATCTGACTGTCTTTCACAGAGACAAAATAGAGCGGTCCACTTTAAATGGCGAGAACCGACAAGTGATCATTCAGGGAGTCCAGTACCCGTTTGCCATGACTGTCTTCCAACAGGACATCTTCTGGACTGACTGGACAGAGAGAAAGGTTTTCAGGGCTGGAAAGGATGATGGTTCTGGATTCGCAGTACTAGTTAAAGACATGCAGTACAGACCAAATGATATCCATGTCTACGCCGCATCCAAACAGGAGAGTTGCTCTAGTCCCTGTCAGCAGTTTAACGGAGGCTGTAGTCACATCTGTGTTGCTGGTGAGAGCTGATTCATCCTTGAATTAAGGCTGAAAACTAAATTCATCTAATGTTCCACTACGCTGCATCAACCAATGTCAAAATATTGATAAATGCGTGTCAAACTTTTTCAAGCCTAAATTAAAAGTCTGTTTGACTGTATTTAAGGAAATATAACTGATATAATTTCAAAGCTTTAACACTGGTTGCCAAAGTAATAAAATATTAAACTGAAGGGGTGTTACTTTCAAAGTGAACCATTCTCGTGTAATTCAGGAAGTTTCGGCGCCGTTTGTTTTTTAAGAAGACAAATTACCTCAGTTTTCCCTCTGCTTCCTTTCACTTATTAAACTCTTATCTCTGCATACCCTTTCCTGCAGGTCCAGTGGGCCCGGAGTGCCAGTGTCCTCATGACAGCAATTGGTACCTGGCAAATAATGGGAAGGACTGCATCAAAGACACGGGTAAACGTTGTCAGCCAGAGCAGTTCACCTGTCAGAATGGTAACTGCATCTCAGCTCGCTGGAAATGTGATGGCAATGATGACTGCCACGATAACTCAGATGAGCTGGAGAGAGTGTGTGGTGAGAGATTTTATCCCTTCATGAAATCATTTTAATACTCTTGTGGTTGGTGGTTTATGATATTGCCAATATAACAATGCTAGCTCAGACTACAGCTGCAGTCTCCTCTTCTGCTTCCCAGCCTTCCACACCTGCTCGTCTGCAGACTTCACCTGTGCTAATGGACGCTGCATGCCTCTAAGCTATGCCTGCGACTACACCGATGACTGTGGTGACAACAGTGACGAGCAAGGCTGCCCCTTCCCCACCTGCAACCCTTCTACTGAGTTTACCTGCGCCAACGGCCGCTGCATTAATGCAGGCTTTGTCTGTGACGGCCACAACGATTGTCGAGACAATGCTACGTCTGATGAAATCAATTGCTGTGAGTAAAAGTGAAGCTAAGAAGTTTAATTTGTTAAAGGAAGTTCCCTGAAAAACTGTTTTTACTTGTTATTTTTAAATATGATCGGCCACTCAGAGTTTCACTAACAGGCTGAAGATAAAATAGTCTTCTACCCCATGTTCTGCTTTAGCCACCGATAAAAAAAAATCAATGCTCGGGTCAGAAAAGCCAGTGAGATCTATGTTAGACTGTAAATTTGCATCCATGGGCTCACCCATCATGCTACCAGTGAGGTTGGTTGAATTGGTTTAGCATACAGCAGAGAGCATCTTGACTAGCAGAAGCTAACCATTAGCAACTCCATCACATGGCAGAACTCCTCCAGGCTTGTGTTATTTGTGGGGATAAAACAACAATGTTACAGAAGAAATGGAGTCAGTGGTAGATTCGTGTTGCTTTTAGTCATTCGGGGCAATATGTCCAAATTTCAGGAAATAAGACTTCAAAACCTGCTGTCTGAAGCTACTTTCTCCTCCAGCTGACTTGTTCTTCCTGATAAAGACGCATCTGAGCTTTTTTCACCCAAGAACGACTTACAAGACATTAATTCTTACTAGAGACAACAAATGTGTTCAAGAAATGTGTTCAACTCCTTTAATGAACCATATTTAGTTACTTTAATCTAAGTGAACTTGTGTTTTAGTACATGAAAGTCAAAATCAGTCTTTGTTACCTACTGAAATCAAAATACTGAACTTTTGGCTTCATTTGATCCTCTCCAGCTGACCGTACATGTCCTTCTGGACAGATCAAGTGTGACAATACAAATATCTGCATCTACCCTGAAAGCCTGTGTGATGGCTTTAACAACTGTGGGGACAACAGCGATGAGAATCCTCTCTTCTGTGGTAATCAGAGTGGTTAACAGACCAGTTTGTAGAGACTTGATCACCACAAAGGTTTAACATTTAAGATCCCCTCTTGGACATAAATCTAAATGTGTTTGTTGTCGTTGTGTTTCTGTGATACAGTGGGTCGCACATGTGCTCCAGATCAGTTCCGTTGTGACGAGGGAAAGTGTATCCCTCAGTCTTGGGTTTGTGATTCAATCAGAGACTGTAATGATAAGACAGATGAGCCCCCGTCTTGTGGTAAGCTGGCTGGGTTAATTCCAAAACATGATTAAAATCTTTCATTTCTTTTGTGACTCATGTTCTTCTATTACATTAACTCAAATATGTTTTTTGCAATTTACCACTCAGAAATCACATCTGTGTGTAACTAGATATGATTTCCTCTGCTTTGTGTCTGTGCAGAGGATCTAGTCAGAACATGCAGTCCAGGCCAGTTTACGTGTACCAATGGGAACTGTGTCCCTCAATCACTTGTTTGTGATGGCAACAATGACTGCTGGGACAGCAGTGATGAGGCTGCAGAGCTGCAGTGTGGTGAGACAGCACTTAGACACTTAGTTTTTTCGCCCATGCATAGACAGCATGACCTCTTTAGGAATAAATATCTTTGCAGTTTTTTTTTCTTGCCTTCTACTGTTTAACCAACATGAACTGTCATCATTTTAATCACTCCCGTAGGCCAGCGCACTTGCAGTTCCGACCAGTTCGTCTGCCCCATCTGGTACCCAGGCCACCCCCGGTGTGTGCCTCTAAACTTTGTCTGTGACGGTGATAAAGACTGTGTCAACGCAGCTGACGAGCTCCAGAACTGTCCCAACCGGACCTGCCATATGAATGAGTTTGCCTGTTCAAACGGGCTCTGCATCCTCATTCCATTCCGGTATGTGTAAAATGGTAAAACGGTAAATAGCTTGTGTTTGTATAGCGCCTTCTAGGATTCTACAACCTCCCAAGGTGCGTTACAATACATCCAGTCATTTGCCCATGCACACACATGTTCTCAGAGGACACCACCAAGAGGTGGAGAAAAGTGTTGCACATTAAGTCCCTCTCCCTGCTTTTGTGATAAAGTTGTAAGCAACACTTTTCATTCATGAAAACACACCTCTAGCCACGCAACCGAGCTAAAACACATTGCCTTACGGCATCGGTAAAGCTGCTCTGTCCAAACTTCAGCTTGTTCAGAATTCAGGAACCTTACTGCTGCACATTAAACCCATTCTTACATCACTCCATAGTCTGTTCAGTTCAGGATTGATTTCAAGATTCTGCTTCTTCCATTCAAATCCTTGAACAGTCAGGCCCCTCCCTATCTGAGCGGACTCCATTTCTGCTACCCTTCTCATGCACTTAGCTCTGCAGATCAGCTCCTCCTCACCATGCCTAAGGCATGTGTGAAGACCCGTGGGGAAAGTTTTCTCTATCTGTGCGCTAAAACTTTAGAACTCACTACCTCTCCAGGTCAGACAAGCACCCTCTATTTTCATTTTTAAATCTCGCCTGAAAACGCACTACCTCTCCCTGGCCTTCAACTCCTAAACCATAAAGCATTAACTCGTACTTAATACATCCTTTGTTCCACCTTGGTTGTTCAATGTTAAATCTTTGGATTAGCACATTGTGGTTTTACTTTGTTGTTCATTTTAATTGTTTTTATGACATATGTGACTATTTCTGCTCGTGTTGTTTTATTATGGGCAGTAGTGTTTCCCCTAGGAATTTTTCCAGCTGTGGTGGTGGGGCCGGCCGGCAGGGGGTGGGGGGGTGGGGGGGGGGGGGGGGCTGCTTGGGGAGAAATTATGACACGTCTCTAAATAAAGTTAAAATTTCTAGTGCAGAGTGGAGACAACCCATAGAAGCACTGATTTGATCTCATTTCAGAGAAAAATAGAACAGGTCAAATGCATCTAATAAATAAAATTACTAACAAACTCAGGAATCTGTTTCTTTGCTTCACTGTTCTGGTGCTGAGAATATCACTAATGCGGATCAAAGGAGATACACAGATGAATGCACCTCCTAATTATTATTTGGAGACTACATTTACTGCAGCTGGCAGAGGCAGAGATTTTTTCTATTGATACACGGAATTTACAGAATCATTTTAAATGTTAATAGGGGAAGACTGCAGGAGGGAGCGGTAAAATACAGGGGGTCCCCAGCAAAAACAAGAAACTACAAGTCTGATGAAACCCACTGGTTTTCCATCAGGCAGTCACGGGGCAGCTCCAACGACCCAGTGGCTGTGCTGGGTCAATGTTATTGAGCTCAGTCCGGCTCGGCAGAGGGTGAACGAGCCAAGGCGACGTCGTGCTCTGCTTAAGAAGTGTTATTTTCCCGCTTCAGAAGAAGCATCCAACATGTTTTTATGCTTTCTCCGAGACATGTCACGTCGCTAAGTTGTTAGCGCAGCACGCTGACACGTCAATAGTGCAGCGTAGCCTGCTGGAGGTTTTAAGGGTTCAGATGAAACACCCGACCTCTCAGGCTGCTCACACATCGAACTTAAGTTGTCGCTGTTGCGCTCACGCCGTAATACAGTATTAGATGCGGTTAAAGTCAGACATGAAAAAATACATTTTACATAAATAAGTGATGCTTAGCCTGGTGGGGGGAGGAAAACCTGGCCTAATAAGCACTGGAGGAAACCCTGTCATGATTGTCAACACTCATTTATCTTAACGCTATTGAAACATGTAAACCAAAAAGCATTATATCCACTGCTACCTTTCCAATTTTAAACTCAGTAACTTATGCTGTAATTTCACCTTGCCCTGCCTGCTCCTCCTTGCTGCCCGCCGACTATGATCACAAGCGGCAACATAGTAGTTCCCGCTGCTTCTTCTGGAAACAGCACCAAAAAAAAAAAAAAAAAAAAAAAAAACTTGGGATCTTGTAGGCTTGTCAGTGAGATTTCAGCTGTTGTGTCCCGCCACGGCTACGCCTATGTAAGGGAAACCCTGGGCAGTGCTTTGGTCGGTTGTAATGCCGTGTTAAATGTGTTCTAGTAATCAAGTGGTATGGTATGTTTTACTATTGCTATTCTCATGTTTGTTTATTCATATTGTTCATGATAAATGTCACCAACCATTTAATATCTGAGTTTACCTTGGAGATCCGTCCACCATTAAAAAGCAGATCCAAGGTAAATTCTATGCTGGTCTTTGATGGGATATTCTACAAGTGTAGTCCATGGGCTTTTCTGTACTTTTGTCTGTCTTTGAGTCAAAGCAGTCAGTCATGCAATCAGTAGTTTTGTGGTTGTGAAGGCGGTTGTAGCCACTGTACGATTCACTGTCTTTGTAAACTACTGGAAAACGCCATATTTCTGCTAATGCAAGTGCACTATGTGATAGACATCCATATGTGAGTGGATGCCAAACACGACTGGCTAATGCTTAGCAGTGGTCAAGTAAAATTACACGGAGTGCTATGGGACAATGGGTAGGTTTAGCAAAAAAACGTTACGTATTGTCCTTGGTATTTCACACAACAGGGTAAATCTATCACTTATACATAATTGTAGCCTGGCAAACCATCCTATGGTAGTACCTCTATCTGCTAATGTTTCACAGTGTAGCGTAGGCAAATCGATGATTTTTATTTGTTAAGACCAGGACGATGTAATTTTCTATATAAATATAAAATATTAACCTGCTAGGTCTTTATTTTATATTATCAGAAGATCTAGGATTTAATTCAGAAGATCTAGGTTCTTTGCTTTTTCAGTGATCAACCACACTTCGTGTTACTTCAAGAAAGAGTCAGGTTTATAAAAGTAAGAATTTATTTTGCAAACAATTAAAACATGACTAATTACCTAAGCCAGGGGTGTCCAATCCTGGTCCTGGAGGGCCGGTATCCAGCAGGTTTTGTGGTTTTTCCGCTCCAACAGGTTTGATTCAGTGGTTGAAACACCTGTGCAGCAGCTCATCAGGCTCTGCAGAAGCCTATTAATTAGCTGCTGATTGAAATCAGGTGTGTTGAAACAGAGTTCAAACTAAAACATGCAGGATACCGGCCCTCCAGGACCAGGATTGGACACCCCTGAGCATTTACTGTGAGTGGATGTAACTAAACGTGATGAAGGAACCTATGTGTGAATGCAATGTCAGTCAGAGCTTCCTTATCAAAATAAGCTGAGTTCTGGTGAAAATAATTTGGTTTGCCCTAGGCTATAAAGTTGTTATCATCAGAAGCACATCAGACACAATCTGTCATGGCTTTTTCGCCCATTTTGGAGAGACCCTCTTGGTGGATCCGAAAGTCGGAGGGGTCGGCTGACCTCTGGCACCGGAGGGCTGTAGAATACCGTGGTACCGACTCTTCAGTTCAGAGATGTCTCGGGTCACAACAGCTGGATGGAACCTTGCGTCTGGCGGACCCTTAAGGAGTCTAACAATATCAGCTTGGTTTCTGCAGGAACTGTTTGCTCATCAGCTTTGCAGGTGCAAAAAGGTTTTGACGACGTGTCAAAATCTTTGATGGTTAAAGAGGTTTTGCTACAGATGGCTGGTCTGAGCGATTCTCTAGAACTGTCGAATCACTCAGGATGATCCAGTTTTAAGGCTGTTATGATTTGCGCAGCCAATCAAAGGCTGACAGCTTGGGAGATGTTACCAAGACAACTCAGAAACGCACCTTCTTTGATACCGGATGTTCTGACTGGTTAAAAGGGTTAAACTTGTTGTTGTGTGAGTGCAGGTGTGAGGACCTCGTTGTCAAAACATGTTGAACACATGGCAGGTTCTAGTAGACAAACATAACATAACATCTATTCAGTGAGCACAGATTAATGAAGCATTTCATTATATTATAATTATTATAAGTAGTAATAAACAAATGTTTATTTAATGATTATCTAGATTATAAGTCATGAAAGAAGTTCATATTGATTTAGGAAATCATTCTTGAATTTAGCAATTGAATCGAGCTGGAGTTCTTCCTTCTGTGGAGGCAGACAGATGGGACCTTGGGAAAGAAAGTTATTGTTTATCTTTCAGTCTTGCAGAGTCTGTGAGTCCCAGCTGGTATGAAGGCAGGCTCATTTAAAGGGAACACATGCAGTGTTGTGTCTCCTTTCTGACCAGATGTTAAATAGATGTTGAAAGGTCAGACTGTACCAAAACTGAACATTGCTGGACATTACAACAGATAAGCACAAGTCTAAATCTTCCAAAGTTGATACCAAAGCCCTTTGAAATGAGCTCTTTTCCTGAGCCACCACCATATTTGTAGTTTTTCCTCCATCGCAGCTCTGGTGCTAAGCCTACCCAGCATCTCTCTATGAACATAGAGCGTTATAATTGGCCAGGTCCACGCTTAGCCGAGCCAATTGTAGACCTGCTGAGACTACAATGGAGTGTGGCAAGACTCGTCAATGACTGATGAGTTTCTCCTTCTTTCTAGCTGTGATCGTGTGAATGATTGTGGCGATGGCAGTGATGAACTGGGCTGTAAGTATGACACGTGCAGCAGCAACCAGTTCACTTGCCGTAACGGAGCCTGTATCCCCACCTACTTCATTTGTGATGGAGATAGTGACTGTATGGATGGTTCAGATGAGGCAGACAGCTTGTGCGTCACACCTGAACCTACCTGCTCCCCTGAACAGTACCTGTGCCTATCAGGAGACTGTATCGACCTTCACAAGGTGTGCAACGGGCAAAAAGACTGCCAGGACAACAGCGATGAAAAGGGCTGTGGTGAGATTATTTACATTATTTTATCTTTTTTTTTTCATTACTTTTAATCATCAGGGAAATGATTAGTTTTGAAGACTTAGAAACATATGGTTGTACAGCTGCTGGTCATAAATTAGAATATGATGACAAAGTTGATTTATTTCAGTAATTAAATTCAAAAAGTGAAACTTCTATATTAGATTCATTCATTACACACAAACGGATATATAAATGTTTTTTTCACTATTTTTGATGATTGTAACTCACAAAGTTAAAGTTCACATTAGTCATCATCACACACTGGTGAAATTCATCTCTGCATTTGACCCATCCCCGTGTGGGGGAGCGGTGGCGGAGCTCGGGAAATATTTGGTGGTTTAACCCCCTCCCCCCCAATCCAACCACTTAAAGCTGAGTGTCAAGCAGAGAGGCATTGGGTCCCATTTTTAAAGTCTTTGGTGAGATCCGACACTCTACCACTATACCACTGAGCTGGTTAACTACTAATGAACATCCCAAATTCAGTAACTCAGAAAATTAGAACATCAACTAAGACCAATGCAAACTTTACACTGGACTTCAAGCACCGTAGACTCTGTGCCTCTCCTCTCTTCCTCCAGACTCTGAAATCTTGATTTCCAAAGCAAACTTTACTTTAATCAGAGAACTTAAGTTTGGACCACTCAGCAGCAGTCCAGTTATTTTTGCCTTTATCCAAGGTGAGACACTTCTGACGCTGTCTAAGGTATGCGACAGCTGAAAACCATCTCTTGCATACGTCTGTGTGTGGTGGTTCTTGAAGCACTGACTTCAGTTGCAGTCCACTCTTTGTGAATCTCCCCCACATTTATGAATGGGGTTTGTTTCACAATCCTCTCCAGGGTGTGGTCATCTCTACTGCTTGTACACTTTTTTCTACCACATCTTGTCCTTCCCTTCACCTCTCTATTACTGTGTTTGGATACAGAGCTCTGTGAACAGCCAGCCTCTTTAGCAATGACCTTTTGTGTCTTGCGTAAGGTGCCAATGGTCGTCTTTTTGGTCAGCAGTCTTCTCCTTGAGCAAGTAGCCTATAGAACTAGACTGAGAGACCATTTAAAGGCTCTTGCAGGTGTTTTGAGTTAATTAGCTAATTAGAGTATGGCACCAGGGCTCTTCAATATTTAACCTTTTCACAATATTCTAGTATTCTGACAAACTGAATTTGGGATTAGTTGTCGGTTATAATCATCAAAAATAAAGAAAGAAACATTTAAAATATATCAGTATGTGTGTTAATAACAAGTTTCACTTTTTCAATGGAATTACTGAATTAAATCAATGTTGTCATGATATTCTTATTTTATGACAGCACTGTCTAGACAGACAAGGCAAAAGAAGGAAAATTGTTACCCTGATTTTTGATTAATTGAATAAATCCTTCCTTTCTCTTTCTTCCTTTTTCCTTCAACCTATTTAGGAATCAATGAGTGTCTCAACCCATCCATCCACAAGTGCGCTCAGCTCTGCACTGACACCCTCACTAGTTATTACTGCTCCTGCTACCCAGGCTACCGTCTCATGCCGGACGGCAAAGCCTGCGAGGATCTCAACGAGTGTGTTAGCACACCCGCTGTTTGCAGCCAGATTTGTGAGAACACCGTTGGCTCGTATCACTGCAAATGTGCTCCAGGGTACATCCGTGAGCCGGATGGACGCACCTGCCGCCAGAACAGCGGCGTTGCCCCATACCTGCTTTACAGTAATCGCTACTACATCCGGAATTTAACCACAGATGGGTCACATTTGAGCATAGTCCTGCAGGGGCTGTCCAACGTAGTGGGGTTGGATTTTGATCACTATGAAAGGAGACTGTACTGGCTGGATGTAGGAGCAGGAAAGATAGAGAGAATGCGCTTTGATGGCAGTGAAAGAGAGACGCTTGTGTCTAACAATTTAGGAGGAGCTGAAGGCCTGACAGTGGACTGGGTGGGAAGGTGAGGAGAATCTTCATGAATAAAATTTTATTTAAAAATGGTTGCAAATTAAAACTTGCATGAATTGAGTTTGGTCAGGTCTAGGAGGAATGCTTTTCACCCTGCAGGAAAGTGTACTGGGTGGATGGTTATTATGGCTCAATTCACGTGATGGAGTTGGATGGACGCTACCAGAAGAAGCTGCTGTCAGAGCATTTCACAAATGGAAATAACACATATATTATCAGCCGACCTCGTGCTGTAGCTGTCAATCCCAAATACGGGTATTTACAAACACACACACATATACACACACACACATACACCAGTCTGGTACACAAAACAGATTTATACAAGCTTTCCCACAGATAAAAATAAAATGTATAAATCTCAACTCTAATTTCCTACTGATGTGTTGCTCGACTATTCGTCGCCTTCCTCTTTTCTCCCTTCATGCTGCCTTTCTAGATGGCTCTACTGGACCGACTGGGCTGATGCTGCTTATATTGGTAGAGCTGGTATGGATGGATCAAATGTCAGTGCCATCATCACAGCCAAACTGGAGTGGCCCAGTGCTCTGACCATTGACTACACCACCAACAGGATCTTCTTTGCTGATTCACACCTCAACTTTTTGGAGTGAGTTGAGACCATCTGAAATGAACTAATGGTTTGATCCACTGCTCTCATTGTGAAATAGATACACAGCAATCAAATCTTTTAAATATCTTAGCTTTGCAGACATGGACGGTCAGAACCGGCACCGAGCCATTGCCGGAACGCTCCCTCATGTGATTGCTGTTTCCCTGTTTGAAGACTGGGTCTACTGGACTGACTGGAACACACACACTGTAGAGAAAGCTCATAAATACACTGGCAAACAACGTGCAGTCATGGGCAACAACACACATCGACCGTATGACATCCACGTTTACCACCCCTACAGGCAACCTCGAAGTACACATCAACATTTACAAGTTCCTATAAACTCATTACATCAACAAACTCCTGTATTAAATACTTCCCCCTTCTCTGACAGGTGAAAACCCTTGCTCATCACATTATCTCACCTGCAGTCATCTGTGTCTAATTGCTCCCGGAGGGCAGCAAGCAACCTGCAAGTGTCCGGATCACTTCATCGGTTTAGCTATTGGATTCAAGATCCAGTGTGTGGCCGACTGCTCCAGCACCCAGTTCCGCTGTGGGGACAACGAGAAGTTAGTCTGCTAGAAACCCCTTTCTGTTTCATGGATTTGTGGCCATTTATTTGGATTTTTTTGTGCATCATAAAAAATGGGAGTTTGTATTTCAAAATTAGATTTTTACCATGTTATTTATACATTAGTAAATGTTAAAGTTCCCTAATAAATACTTTGTTAGCAAGCTAAATTGGAGTGATTTTACAAACTAAATATTTAGGTCAGAACTAAATGTTTAGTTTGTAAAATAAATATTTAATTTACTTACAAAATATATTTAATTTGGAGCAAAATATTTAGTTTACAAAATAAATATTAACTCCAAATTAAATTTTCATTTTCCAAAATAAATATTAAACATCTAAATAAATATTTATTTTACAAACTAAATATTTAGGTCTGACCTAAATATTTAGTTTTTGAGATAATTTTTTACTCAAAGTTAAATATTTAGCTTACTAACTAAATACTTAGTGGGGATCTTTAACATTTATAAATCTATGAATAACATGGTGAAAATATGACTTTAAAAAACAAACTCTCATTTTATTTCTTTTACAATCAATATGCTAAATAACCCAAAATATTGCTGTCAATGTATGACTCTTTGACTTTACAAATGCACCCTATAGGTTTCTGTGTAAAACATTACCCTCAGACCTGACTTAAGCTTGAGCCAACAGCTAGTCTGAACACAGTATACCAAAATTTATTGGTACCATCCTTAAAATTTTCCATTTTTACAGAGATTCATGCAGATTGTGTTTATGACATTTACACGTCATTGTAAATTTGGCATTTCACAGTTATTTCTACAAAAATATGGCGAAAGTCCTGCTAGCCTTGACACCAGGGTTCACAGGAAATGCTCCGTTTTGCTGCTGAAGCAGATTTTTAAGAATATTAAACCATGTATAATGATTTATAACTCTCATTGACACTAACTTCAGAATGACTGAGATATTCATTTAACTAGGAAGAAAATTAAATAAAATTACAATAAATAGCAATTAGTCAAGATCTGCGTATGCACACAACATATGAGCCAATAAATCAGAGACAGTTTTCAAGTAAATTTAATCGTCAAAAGTGAAAAAGAAGTTGAATTAAAGCTGCAAGCAGCGTCGTTCGGCCCTCGCAGCGAAGCTGCTCGCCCTCCTTCAGCACCCCCTCCGCTCCATCCCAGACGCTCTCCAAACCCGGCTCCGCGCTTCTCCATCCTGGCCGGCAGCCGAGGGCATCAGGGCATGCCTGTCGGAACAGAAAGTCAGCCACCCCGACACCGGAAACCGTGAAAGGCCTCCTCGTCCACACCTCACCCTGACTCAGCATCCCTTCTGAGCCCACCATTACATGTCTCACCCCTAGGAGATACTCTATCTTTACCACACTGGTGATGTGATGTTCAGTCTCGGGCAAATCGGAGGCTGTTTGTGGAAGTTACAGTCAAACGTAAGGTCACAGCGTCACGCCAGAAATCGCCATGGCATCAAAGCCCCTCACTTTCTGAAAAGCTATCAGATCTGAATGGTCATTACAACATCATGAAGACAGTGCATGACCTTAGTGTCATCTTGACTAAATTAGAGGGGACAAATATGGGCAGTTCACCATAAAACAATAGACTTCCTTTAGTCAGGGGGCGGGGCTTAGGTGATGTCAGCTGTCCACATTGTCACTGTCTTCAGATGTGGTCAGTGATCACACAGACAAAGTATGAAATTGATCTGATCATGCACATGGGAGTTATTAAGTCAAATAAAGTAATGGCGACTGGTCAAAGTTTGAGGCTTAGCCACGCCCATACCTTTATACTTATTTAAAATCCGACGGTTGAATTTTTTCCTCTATGTTTTAAGAGTATATAGCAGGAGTTTGAAGGTGATCGGTGGAAAGGGCGAGGAGATATCATTCTCCTTATAACGTGTGCGAAAACCACTAAATTGAGTAATTGCACCAAAATGGCCGACCTCCTGTGCGACATTGCGCTTGGCTCCAAGAGACTTTTTTGTAGGTCCTGAGACACTACATTAGTGTGCCAAATTTTGTGATCCTCAGTCAAAGCATGGCTTGGGGCTGACTGTTTTAATGGTCCTAGGGGGCACTGTTTTGGAAAATAGGCCACGCCCACAAACTTCAGCTGTCCAATTATATTAGGGGTCAGAGCAGGATCACTCATCAGAAATTGTGTGGCAATGTCACAATGATTGAAGAAATGAGAGACAAACGTATTTCCATGGCGTGATGGCGAATTTCGCCATGCTCCCAAAGCCCCGCCTTTATTCGAAACCTGCCAGTACTATAGACCTAGTGACCTCAACTTGTCTGCTGCTATTTGCCACTGTTTGGTGGTGATTGGATAAAAGGAGTCCAATAGGGAGCTGTGAAAAAAAGAGTGGCGTGGCGACAAGTCAGAGTTTGAGGCTTAGCCACGCCCACACCTTTATACTTATTTAAAATCCGACGGTTGAATTTTTTCATCTATGTCTTAAGAGTATATAGCAGAAGTGTGAAGGCGATTGGTGAAAAGGGCGACGGAGCATCACTCTCCAAACAACGTGTGCGAAAACCACTAAATCACGCACTTGGACCAAAATGGCCGACTTCCTGTGCGACTTTGCACTTGGCTCCAAGAGACTTTTTTGTAGGTCCTGAGACACCACATTAGTGTACCACATTTCGTAATCCTCAGTCAAAGCATGGCTTGGGGCTGTCAGTTTTAATGGTCCTAGGGGGCGCTATTTCAGCAAATAGACCACGCCCACCGGAATGTCACATCAGATTTTTTGGGGGGCCGGACTAGGATCACTCACAAGAAGTTTCGTGGCGATATCTCTAAAAATGACGAAATGGGAGGCAAACGTAAGGCCTAAGTGGTACGCCTGAGTTCGCCGCGCCGCCACAGCCCCGCCTTCTGCAGAAAACTCCCATAAAGTGACGCCAAGCAACCCCAACTTGTCTTCAGTTACCTGGTACAAATTTGGGATGATTATTTGAAAGGGCAAATTTTGGAAAATTTCCCAGTAAAACTTGACCTTTTAAGTCCTGAAGGGGCGGTGCTTATGTGACATCATCAATTGACCATTCATTTGTCTTCGGGGGGCGATGATGATTGTCCATAGAAAGTTACTTTAACTGTAATTCTTTCATTTATGAAATTATAGCAATTTGAATTTTTTTGGCGAGTGCTCGAACTTTGAGGCCTGGTCCCGCCCCTTCAGTATTTACGAAAAGTCAATTTTATTGTCTCATTTTAATCGTCCGTCGCTTCTGTTCGATCGCACACTATTTTTGAGACGATCGTGCGAAAAATGACCAAACTGTTCAACCAAATATAGACCCAAGAAATGGCCGAAACAGGGTCAAAATGGCCACTTTAGTCCAAAATGGCCGACTTCCTGTTTGATATTGACCATGGATGCAAGAGGCTTTTCTGTGCGTATTGTTGAGTTCTACAAGTGTACCAAATTTCATAACTGTACGATAAACTAAGCTTTATGGAGAGGGGTATTTTTCACTTTCTAGGGGGCACTGTTCAGCCATTCTTTTATGAACTTTCACATTGCCAGTGAAATACGTTAATTTCACGCACTTTCAATATTGGGCCAGAATTTGGTGACTTTTTGGATATGCTAAGACCCCCTAAAGGCCAGTCAAAGACGCGGAAGAAAAAAGAAAGAAAGAAAGCGTAATTAAAGCTGCAAGCAGCGTCGTTCGGCCCTCGCAGCGAAGCTGCTCGCCCTCCTTCCGCACCCCCTCCGCTCCATCCCCGACGCTCTCCAAACCCAGCTCCGCGCTTGTCCATCCTGGACGGCAGCCGGGGGCACCAGGGCACGTCTGGCAGAACAGAAAGTCAACCACCCCGACACCAGAAACCGTGAACGGCCTCCTCGTCCACACCTCACCCTGATTCAGCATCCCCTCTGAGCCCAGCATTACACGTTTCACCACTAGGAGATACTCTATCTTTACCACACTGGTGATGTGATGTTCAGTCTCTGGCAAATCGGAGGCTGTTTGTGGAAGTTACAGTCAAACGTAAGGTCACAGCGTCACGCCAGAAATCGCCATGGCATCAAAGCTCCTCCCTTTCTGAAAAGCTATCAGATCTGAATAGTCATTACAACATCATGAAGACAGTGCATGACCTTAGTGTCATGTTGACTAAATTAGAGGGGACAAATATGGGCATTTCACCATAAAACAGAAGACTTCCTGTAGTCAGGGGGCGGGGCTTAGGTGATGCCAGCTGTCCACATTGTCACTGTCTTCAGATGTGGTCAGTGATCACACGGACAAAGTTTGAAATTGATCTGATCATGCACAAGGGAGTTATTGAGTCAAGTAACGTAATGGCGACTGGTCAAAGTTTGAGGCTTAGCCACGCCCACACCTTTATACTTATTTAAAATCCGACGGTTGAATCTTTTCCTCTATGTCTTAAGAGTATATAGCAAGAGTTTGAAGGTGATCGGTGGAAAGGGCGACGAGACATCATTCTCCTAATAACGTGTGCGAAAACCACTAAATCGAGTACTTGGACCAAAATGGCCGACCTCCTGTGCGACATTGCGCTTGGCTCCAAGAGACTTTTTTGTAGGTCCTGAGACACTACATTAGTGTGCCAAATTTCGTGATCCTCAGTCAAAGCACGGCTTGGGGCTGACAGTTTTAATGGTCCTAGGGGGCGCTATTTCAGAAAATAGGCCACGCCCACAAACTTCAGCTGTCCAATTCTATTAGGGGTCAGAGTAGGATCACTCATCAGAAATTGTGTGGCGATGTCACAATGATTGAAGAAATGAGAGACAAACGTATTTCCATGGCGTGATGGCGAATTTCGCCATGCTCCCAAAGCCCCGCCTTTATTCGAAAGCTGCCAGTACTATAGACCAAGTGACCTCAACTTGTCTGCTGCTATTTGCCAGTGATTGCTGGTGATTGGTTAAAAGGAGTCCAATAGGGAGCTGTGAAAAAAAGAGTGGCGTGGCGACAGGTCAAAGTTTGAGGCTTAGCCA